TGTTGAATCTCCATCTGGTGTATCTAAGGAGTAAGTTATTAGTTAATGGAACAAAGAAGCCATATCTTCAGATGCTGTGAGTTGTGCTCGCTTGGAGCACTAGCATGTTCTGAGGCAGTGCGTCACAGTGAGGGTGCTGGCCTGCTAACTGGACACTCCGGTCCTGGTCCCAGCTTGGCCACAGGCTGGCTGGGTGACAGTTGGCCTCCATCTCCTCATCTGCAGACATCGAAGGGCTGGATGAATGGTCTTACAGTCCCTTCCAGCTCTAGGATGGAAGAATCTTGGTTAGATACAGTAACTGAACAAGTATCGAAGGTTCTGACCCCTTTAAAACACAGGGGTTGGCGGGAGGATCATGAAGTCTAGAAAACCAGTATAATTTGATAGGTTTAAAATTCCTTTAGTTTGAGAAATTGAGACCTCTCGTTGCTTCAAGAGTGGAGTAGTGAAAATAGGACTGTCTTCCAAGGATGCCTGGAAAAGTGAGTGCTGATTTAGCGTTGGCCTTTATCCTCCACTTCAGCATTCCTGGCCCTCTGGGGCAGGTGAGAGGGTCCATGTTGCCCTGAGGCTTTGGCATGCTGTTAGTAATTTATATTTTAAACTTCATTTTATTCTGAACATTTGTGAGGTTTAAATTGGGACTGGGAAGATCTTCTCTTGGGTGATAAGTGTTGCTGTTTAATTCTTCGTAGTTCTCTGCAAACCCTGCAAACCTGTACCTTGTTCTTTGCCTGAGTTTCAGAGATGACCCTTGTCCCCTTCCTGGTTGGGCCGTGTGACTCGAACCACATCTGGCTGTGTGGCTCTGCACCTAGATTTCCTGGCTTCGTTACTGACTAGCTGTGTACTTGTGGACAGCCCTTCACCTTCTTTTAGCCTTGGCCTTCCTGTCTGTCAGCTGGAAATAGTGAACAATGCTCTCTCTTTATCTTGAGATTTAGCTATGGAAGTTCTTTGACCAGTGTATAATGCTAGACAAACAATGTGTTGTGCTATTATCATCATGAGCCCATTTCTCAGATCTTCACCTGGGAGTCCAATTACGGGTCCTGAGTTCGTGCTGTTTCTCATGCAAGGGGGTGGGCAGAGAAGGGCCATCTGGAGGTGGTGCGTCTGCCTGGTATGGGTTTGGAGGAAGGAGGGCAAGACATAAAAGCTGGTGGCTCAGTTTATTCATTGTTAGGAGTGTAATGAAAGCTTCCA